GATTCGTAGGCGATCAGCTGCAGTCTGTTCCCGAAATCCTGGAGAAGCACTGCTCCGATGGCGAAATCAGAGGCGTCGGTTACAACTTCGAACGGCTTCGATGGGTCGGCGATGCGCAGTACAGGAGGAGAAACGAGAAAATTCTTGAGCTCCTGGAAAGCCACCTCTGCTTCCTCCCCCCACACGAAATTCTTGTCCTTGTGCAGCAGGTCGGTCAGCGGGCCGGTTATCCCCGCCATATTCGGGATAAACCGCCGGACGTAATTCACGAACCCCAGAAAACTCTGAAGCTCCGTGACATTAGTCGGGGCCTTCCACTCCTGTATGGTTTTAATCTTCGCCGGGTCGATTTTGATGCCGTCGCGGGAGATAACGTGCCCTAAAAACTCCAACTCCTGCTTAAAAAACTCGCACTTAGAGCCCTTGGTGATGAGCCGGTTCTCTTGCAGCCTTTGAAAAACTGCGTCCAGGTCGCGGAGGTGTTGCTCCCGTGTCTTGCTAAAAATCAGGATATCGTCCAAATAGACGATGACACATCGGTCTAGAAGATCGCGAAAAACCCTGTTCATGGTCAGTTGAAATGTCGAAGGCGCGTTCGTGAGGCCGAAAGGCATCACCGTGAATTCGTAACTCCCGTAGCGTGTACGAAACGCGGTCTTGTGACAATCGTCGGCGAAGACCCGAATCTGGTGGTAACCGCCACGTAAGTCGATTTTCGAGAAGTAGCGAGCGCCGCGAAGTTGATCGAGGAGGTCGTCGGTGCGTGGGATTGGGTAGCGAGACTTGATGGTCACCCTGTTCAACGCGCGATAATCGATGCACATGCGAAGCCCGCCGTCCTTCTTTGGAGTGAACAGGATCGGTGCCGCGAACGGGGAGGTGCTCGGCCGAATGAAGCCTTTCTCCAACAGTGCAACAATTTGTCGGCGTAGTTCCTCGAGTTCCGGCTGGGTCAACCGCCACTGTGTCCGAACAGTAGGTTGCGCGCCAGGTTCCAGCTGGATTTTATGGTCTTCGGGTCTTTCGGGTGGCAGCCCAGGTGGCAGATCGTCCGGGAAAATGTCGGGGTACCGTCGAATTAGCTCCGCTAAATCCGGAGGAACAGCTGCACACAGCTTTTCGATGTCCTTTCCGTCGGTGTCGACTGCCAACTCGCGCAAGCAGACGGCGAACAGCTGCGCACCCCTGTTGAAGTGGTGGGCGATGGTGATGGCTTTGACGCACGGGGCTTGTATGTAGTCAGGTGTCCATGCAGGCAACTTAATTAGCCCCTCGTGCTTGCTGACGCAGCACGATCCCGTTGTCCAGTCGATGACGGGGTTGTGTCGTCGCAGCCAATCGCGTCCCAGCAGCACGTCGCAGCCATCCAGCGTCGTCGCGAGGAACTTCATGCTGAAGCCGAAATCTTCGCCGCACTCGATCCGCACCGTCCGTGTTTCTTCCGTTATCGCCAGAGGCGTCCCATCCACGAGTCGTGCGTCGATTTCGGGCAGACACCTGTCAAGTTGCATGTTGCATTTTTTTGCGCTCGCCAAGTTGAAGAGGCTATGGCTGGCCCCTCCATCGACGAACATTTTCAAATGATGTTTCCCCACCTTGCCAGCGACCAGCACAGGGTGATCCACATGGTTATCCCCGTTATTCGGCCGAGTGTGATCGATTGCATGAATCGGAACCACGACTCGGTGGGGATGGTGGTGTTCGGGCGACGGAGCACAGTCAGTAAAGGGCCCGCTACTTACTGACTCTTCCCATTTCCCTGCTCCTTCCTGTCGTTCTCTGTCAGCGGCATTTTCTCCTTGCATTCGTTCTTCCAGTGACCCACCTTCCCACACCGGAAACACTGACCCTTAGGAGGGCGGTCGGGTGTATGGACGGCGTTGATTGTGGCCCGATGGGTCTGGCCACGAAAACCTCTCCCATCCCTGGAAGCCGTTCTCGCGTACTGCATCAGCGCATCCGTTGACTCTGCCACGCGTACTGCTTCGAGGAACGATGTCGGGCGGCTGCGGCGAACTTCGAACTGTATCTCGTACTTAAGGCCGCTCACGTATTTATCCAACCGCTCAGCTTCCGACATGTCATCGATTTGGTCGGCGAAGCCCATAAATGACGCCGTGTAGTCTTGGACAGATCCCATCTGCGACCATGCACGCAGCTTCATGCGAGCTTGCTCCGAGGCGGATACGTGCTCGAAGCGATCCCGTAAGGCTGCGCCCCACTCCTTCCATGTGCGTATCTTGGTCACACCGAAGATCGGTTCTGCAACTTGATTAACCACTGTAGAGGTCCCGTCTGCCGCATGTGTCACACCTGTCGACGTCCCTGTTTCCAAGGTCCGGCGCCACCATTCAAGTGCTGCACCTCGAAGAAGCGAGACTGCGTAATTAATGCGCGTGGCATCGTCATTAACTCCGGCTGCAGTGAAGAAGACTTCAACCCCGAACAGCCACCCCTTCACTGTAGTCGTCTTGTCCGTAGGATTAAACGGGGGCGGGTTGACGGGCTTGATCTTGATCGTCGTAACTGCAACTGGCGCTGCCGCCGCTCGCTGCCTATCTTCTTCTTCGAAGTCGCGTGTGAGCTCGTCCAGAGGATTGCCCATCACTTGACTGTTGCCCTCGCCTTCGTCCACAGGCGACGTCTGATGCGATTCACCTCGCGTCCGGCGTAGCTCGGCGTTTTCCTCCTTCAGTGTTGTCACTTCCGCTTGCAGCGATTCCATGCCCCTCGCCATTTCTGCCACTTGCGCCATCAGTCGGTTAACAGCCTCCTGATCCATGTTTCTAGCACTACGTCTGGTGGGCAGTTGGGTACCCGTGGCCGCCCGGCAAGTGAAAACACGAACTATCGGAGTCGGGCAGGGTTGAGTTAACAACCTCTGCAGCCAACCGTCGTGTAGTCACTAAACCAACCACACCCTATGCCACCAAACTACCCTTGAAAAGCGGGGTGAACTAGGAAAGTAGCTCTGATACCAGGTGTTATGAGTTGTAAAAGAGAGTGCGCAGGTAAACGAATAACGAGACTGTGACTGAATGAATCTGAGAATACAATGAATGCGAGAACTAATGTAGGCTAGCCTAGCTAGGAGGAAACCTCGGACGAGCGAGGTTGGGTGCAGGTTTGGCGATGGGAATGCCGAAGGCGACGCGAGGAGCTTCGGCAGCGTGGAAATCGCCCGATCGTGCGAACTCCGAAAATCGGGTTGTACGCGCAGCAGTCAACCCCGATAAGGAATTCGAGAAAATTCCATACAGAGGAGGATGGATCGCTGGCATGAAAGATACGAGTACCAACCAGAAAAGCATCATCGCTGTGATTATGGAAGAGACAAGTTCCTTCCGACAAGAAAAGCATGAAGTTCCGACCAGAAAAGCATGAAGTTCCGACCAGAAAAGCATGAAGTTCCGACCAGAAAAGCATGAAGTTCCGACCAGAAAAGCATGAAGTTCCGACTAGAAAAGCATGAAGTTCCGACCAGAAAAGCATGAAGTTCCGATCAGAAAAGCATCAAGTTCCGACCAGACAGTTCTTGCAGGAATATTTTCGATCTCGCATGGGGTGTGGATGGGGCTGGCACAAAGGTCGGTTTCTTTTTATTTTCAGAAGGCATGTTGAGACCGAAGTTCAAAAAGTTCCAGATTAAGCATGATTTCAGCCTCTAATTACTGGTGAAGTTCACTTTTTGCGAGCATGAGGCTTTCGTTCCATCATTTTGGGCAGCCAGGGAGTCGAAAACCAAGGTTCAAGGGGTCTGGGAAGCAGGTGCCTGGATTGCATTCCCTCACCCGAAACGAAAATACACCATGGCCTTCGCGGCCCCAACTTTCCGCCCTTTCGGCAGCGAAACTGGTCAAACCCTATGCCGTCTAGGCAGGTTCATTCTACTCGACTCAGCTTCGTTTCCAGGTAAGTTGCTGCTTTTCGTTTTTCCTTTTCTAACGGTTTTCGCTTTCTCCTCCCTACACCGCATCTCACACCTTCCCAAGCAAGATTTCGTCCCCTCCTCAGGCCCCTTCTCATCGCTCTTAACCGCTGAAGCTCTCCCCGCTCAACGTTCCCAATCTCTCGTCTTCAACACACCTGGACAACTTTCCCGCCAAGTAAGTTTTCCCGATGCAACTGCAACTCCATTTCCTCGCCGTAATTTCCTCCACAAATCCTCACGGTATCCTGCCAACGCACCTCTGCCACGCCATCCAACCCACCACGTTAACCCCCCCTTTCCCCCTTTCGCTTCCCCTTCTCCCAGGTCCCTCGTTTGTGCAAGTTCGAAGCCCACGCCAACTGATCGCCCTCCCCCAACCCCCCTCCCCCTCCTCTTCACAACAATCACGAAAGACGGTCCCGTCAGCTCACACTCTAGATCGCCTGCTAAACTCAACCTGGCTTTTCCTCCCCCTTTTCAGGCGGAATCCCTTCGTTCCTACGGACCGCCTTTCCTGGCTCCTCGCCTCTTCCTCCTCTCCGTTTCGTGCCTCAACCTTCGAGGCGCCCCCGTTTTCAGCTCCTTTCCCGCGTCCTGCCATCTTGGCGCTGCCACTCCTCGGCTCTATCCCTGGCCACCTCCGGCTGTGCCTCTAACATGGCTCGGAAGCTCGGCGCGCCGCCTAGGCCGCCAGTTTCATCCCACGCTTGCATGCGTCTGGACCCTCGTAAGGTCACGGGTTTCGGGCAGCCAACTAGGCTCCCAGCCCTGTTTCATGGCCTTAATTTCCTCGCCACGGCGCCGCAATTTCCGTAACTTCCCTACCCCCCCCGCTCTCCCCGCTCATCCCTTTCCTGCCTGCCCCCCGCCCTCCCCCCACCCACGTTTCTCCCAAGAATCCCTGCCCCCTCCTGCTCGTCAGATGCTCTCGTTGTCCGCCACCCTCCCTACCCCTCCTTCCCCTCTCGGAGTCTTGCCGTTCTATTCTATATATAACAGGCCTACTTCCTTTTCTCGCATTCACTTCAACCCTTTTAATCATCCACAACTCTCCTACTCATCTTGCACTATGGCTGAGCAAACCTACAATTCCGACCAGACTATGTCCGCCGCCGAAGAGGAGGCCCTCGTCGCATCCGGGGAAGACCTCCTGGTTGATGACCTCCCCGAAGGCCTGATCGATCACCTTGCTGACTCTGCTGAGCTCCCCGTCGCCAAAAAACCGTGCTTCGACGCTGGCGCTAGCCACTCCCCCTCCTCCCCCTCCACCAACATCACCGCCTCCCCCGAATCGGCCCAGGCGCATCAGACACGCCTGCCTGTAGCCTCCGCTGCTGCTGCCTCCAGCGTGCAGCCGAGTGGCCCCCCGCCCTCGCAGACAGCCACCGCTAACGCCCCCAGCGCCCCGGCAGGCCGCGCTGCCGCTTACGCGTCCGTCGCCTCGGGCTCAAACCCGTCCCTTGGGCTGCCCGCCTCTCCCTTCGCCTCGCCCCTCCCGGGTACCCCCCCCCGCAACCTCCGCCGCGCACGTCTGACCGCTGTTTCCCCTTTGCTGCTCCCTCAGCGCCGCCGCGTGGTCGTATCCCTCCTCCTCCCTGAAGCCGAGCTGGAAGCGCACCGCACTGCGATCTTTGCAGGCATCAACGCGATGCTGTGCGGTTTCATGTTCGAAGCTGGCACCATCCCGCCTTTCGAGCAGACCGTCAGTGATCCCCTCCGCATGGCCCGTCGCGTCTACGGCCGCCTGCAGTTTTCATGGCCGTCGCAGGCGGACGCAACTGCCTTCCGCAGGCTTTTCCCCCTCTCGCTCAAACTCCCCAACGCCCGCCCCGTTCTGCTCAAGGAGTTTGTGGACAGATTCGAAGAGTTTACTGCGGCTAAGGCTGCAGGCACTCCCACCCTTTCTATCCGTAACGTCCCCATGGAGTACGCGCCAGAGGACATCCGCGCCTTCCTCCTGAACTCCACCAAGCCGGACGGTGCACATTGGCTCGCCGACTTGACCAACTTCCATCGCGCCTCTGACCCCTACGAGGGTACCTACTTCACTCACCTCGCTGGGCTCCCCGTTGCCACCCCTGACGACCCTCATTTCGATCTCATTCCATCCGAAATCCTGCTGGAGGCTAACAAACCTCCTATGCTCCTGAACTTCTCCTGCCACGTGTGCGCACTCTGCTCCAACAACCATCGCGCATCCGATCATGCGGCGTTCGCAGCCCGCCGCCGTCAGCGCCTCACGAACCGGAACACCATTTCCATTGCGCAACTGCAGCTGGCAAATGGTACGGAAAATCTTCTCTCAGTTTTTGTGACTATGTTCCCTCGCTCCTGCTGTCACTCCTCACCTCCAGCTTGCTCCCTTTCTCCCCTTCTAACTTTCCACCCTGCTCCCCTCCATGCCTCCCACCCCCTCTACGCTTCCCTTTCTCCTCGCCCACCAACTAAACTCTTCCCCACCCTCCCCCGCGCTCACCTTCCAACGCCCCTGTCCCCTTTTACACCCCCTTCCCCCTTTTCCCCTCTGCTCCCATGCCCCCCGATCGCCCAGGCCCCGGCCATCCCCTTACTCAACCTGTTTCTGCCCCCTCTCCCCGTTTCCCCCCCTCTCACCACCCATCCAGAGCCCTCTGCCTCTCCTCTTTGGACCTTCTCTCCTGCCAACCCCCTCTCCCTTTCACCTTTTTTCTACCCGCCCCCCCCCGTCGTAGGGCTCCCCCCCACCCACCCACCCACCCCGTACCTCCACTCCCTCCTTTCCCCCTCCAACCCACGCACGTTTCCCTCCATTATTGCAGTCTTCCCCACCCCATGTGCCTTCCCCCCCCCCTCAGGCTCCCTCCTTTTCGGGCCCTCGCCCACCCATGAACTCCCTCCATATCACCAACCCCCCCCTCGCCCCCTCTGCTCCCCGATACCACCCCCCCTCCCACGCACTCATCTTCCCCTCCCACTCCATCCCCTCCCCCCACGACACTCCCTCCCGTACCCCCCTTGTTGTCGGCCCCCATCTTCCCCTCGAGCCCACCCGTCTCCTGCAACCCTTCACTGTTTCCTCCTTCCCCTGCAGGCAACCCTCCCCACCGGAACTCGCCCTCCCTGCCCCCAGCCAACTACCCCCCCTTTCGCCCCCTACATCTCCCTCCTTGCTCCCCACCCCGTCAAGGACCAGGCTATCACCCCGTCAGCCCCCTTCCCCCATACTACCCCTCACCATGCCCAAACAGGTTGCTTCCCTCCGCCCCGGCCTCCTCTCTCCCTCTGGCCAGGCTCTCACCTACCCCCGTCCCCTCCCCGCGCCTCTCCCCCCTCCCTGCACCTCCCTCCCCGCGCAGCCACGTCTCCCTCACGGACTTTCCCCTCTCAAACCTCTCCCTCACCACCCCCCCCTGCCCCAAACCACCTTCTCCCCCTGCCCCCCTACACCTAGATTTTTGTCCTCCCCCGTGCCACCTCCGCCCCCCCCTCCTCCCCATGAACGCTCCCTACCTCACAGGAAATATTCTGGGGAACCACGCCGCGCCAACCGCTTTCCGCAACGACCCCGGCCTCCTCTTCATCGGGCTGGACGATCAAGTCGAAACCTGGACATGCGCCCTCTGCGATTTTACCTGCGGCGCTGCCCTCGACAGCGCTATGGACCACATTCAGTCCGACGAGCACACCACCCGCGTGAAGGCTACGGTCCACCGCCCGGCAGCCAAGGAAGCTTTCGGCCCTTGGCGCGCCCTCACCATGCAGCAGAAGCCTCAGATCGCTGCCTTTCTCCGTGGCTGAACTTAGCGCCAATGCATGTTTGTTTTGATAGAGGCCGCTGGCTAGTCCCGTCTTGTTTGCCCCCTTTGCCTGGCCTCCAATCAGTGTATGCATTTCTGTCATCTCTGGTCTGGTCGTGCTCTATTGTCCTCGTCATTATTATAATTCTGCACGTACCATCTTTGGCCTCCACCCCAATATACAAGCTTGAGCAAATAATACAGCAAACAACTCACAAATATCTGTCCCATATTACAGACTCCCCTTTATGCGTAACAACCATTCGTCCTAGCCTAATCACCCTCCTTCACATCGGACAAGGCACCAACCGTGCCCTTATAAGCAATCCTCTCTCTCCTTGGACATGCGTTTCTGACCAGCCGTTGGAACCCTGTTTACTATCTAGCTGGCAGCAAGTTTGCAACCAGATGGTACCAACTGCTTATCGCTCTCTCAATACCCTCAGTCAATCTCTCGACATCCCACATACGCACCTTAGCCCGTGGATCCGCGCACCCTACTGCGCGGTGGGCCTACACTCATCAAAATGTTAACGCCTTTACGGATACGCTGTTTGAACATCAATGGTGTCAATACGCCGGTCAAACGAAACGCTCTAAAACGCTGGCTGTCAAGCCTCCCCTCACTGACATCCTCATTTTAGTGGACACACGACTCAAAAAAAACCTACCCCGACTTTCCCTCCAGCTTCGGCCTCACTCCTCAGCTCACGCTCCCACCCTATACGGAGTGAATTCAAAAGGCCAACACATTCCGCAACGTGGCGGCATCTCCGTCCTTTCTTTCAATCGTGCAATTTCTCTCACCTCCCCGTCCCCCTCCGCCGATGGCCGCCTCCTTTCTGTACACATCAATTTTTTTGCACGAGCAACTGCGCCTCGTCGCTATATATGTGCCGAGACCGGCCACCGACCGTCGGATTTGGTGGAGATCCATCCTGACCCCAGCACTGGAACTACCCTCCGCATCTCTTGCTACGATACTTGCTGGCGATTTTAACTCGGTAGTCTCCCCGTTAGACCGCAACCGCCCATTGCTCGGCCACGAACTTAGCGAGGCCACCACGGTGTCCAACCTCCTTTCGACGCACACACTCTGCGACACGTACCTTTCACTCCACCCTGCCACCCCCGTGTTTTCATTCTTCGGTCGTCAGGCCAGTGCCGGTTCAACCCTCCCACCCGCCTCTAGACTTGACCGTATCTACCTCTCCAGTATCCTCCTCCCACGGATCTCTGAATCCTCCTACCTATGGACCCCCGAGGACGTATCTGACCACTCTTTTGCCCCCCTCTGCACCCTCACCTTCGACAACCCGGCCATGGCTCCGCGGCCCTGGCGTTTTAGCTCTTCCCTCCTCCCCCGTCCCCAAGTCGCTACCATAATCGAATCTCACCTCCCCTCCCTGCCGTCACGCCCTTCCGCGGAGGCATGGGACTCATGGAAACAAGCCCTCATCCTCAGTCTCAAACAGTTCTCGAACGAAGAGCGCAAACGAGTCTCAGGTACTACCGAGCATCTCGTTCAACTCATCAGCCGCCTCCAACTCCAATCCGCCCTCTCTCCCCTTGACCAAGTAGAGTCCGCACAACTCCTCAAAGCCCGTCATCAACTTACAAGATACGAGTCCTCTAAAACTGCAGAGATCGCCCTAAAAGCAAAGCTCAAAGTCGAGGGTCATAGGGAGATGGGAATCTCCCCCCTACTGGCGGGACTTAACTCCCGCATCAAAGACTCACTAATATCCTCGCTTACTATGGCTGATGGACAAACCACCTCTGATCTTCACGCCATGACCGCTGAATGCACAAGATTTTTCCGTTCCCTATAGCGGTGCAACCCCGGGCGTGCCTAACCCTGCCTTCTGGGCACATATCCCCCCCTCTTCACTCCCCCCTCGACTCCTCCACCACTTGCAATCTCCCTTCTCTCTTATAGAAATCAACAAAGCTATAGGGCAACTCTCCCGTGGCAAAACCCCTGGCCCCGACGTCATCCCCGGAGAACTTCTCCGACAACATAAAACCCTTCTCGCTCCTGCTTTCTTCTCACTTTTTTCCTCTCCTCCCATCTCTGAAGCCCTTCCACCGTCAATGCTCTCTGGCCGCACCGTCCTAATTCCCAAGAAGGGAAACCCTTCTTCTGCAGAGAACCTTCGCCCCATCACTCTTATGAACTCGGACTACAAGGTTCTGGCCTTGTGTCTTGCCAATCGGCTGCAACTCGCGCTCCCTCTGATCATCCACCCCTCACAAACTGCATTTATTAAGAACAGAAAAATTGGCGATACGATCAATGATACACTCGACATTTTCGACTGGAGCACTATCACTAAGACCCCCCTGCTTGCTTTGACCGTTGACTTTCGGAAAGCCTACGATCTGGTCGACCGTGCCTTCCTCTTCCGAGCACTCACGCTGTTGGGACTCCCTCAGCAATTCATCGCCTGGGTCCGCCTCATGCACACCAATACCTCCACCCGCATCTCTGTCAATAACCTCGCTGGCCCCACCTTCCCCGTTCGAACTGGGGTCCGACAGGGTTGCCCTCTGGCCCCCCTCCTGTTTGTGTGCGTCATCGAAATCCTCCAACGCTACCTCTCCCTCTTCCTCCCGGGGTTCCCTCTCTCTACAACCCAACGCCGTCTGATGGCTTGCTATGCTGATGATGTCACTATATTCCTCACTTCAGTCAGGGAGCTTGGGACTACACTTATACACCTCCGGACCTTTGCTGCTGTCTCCGGAGAGCACCCCAATTGGAATAAATGCTCAATTATCCCATTCCACATTGCACCAGAACTCATCCTCCTTGCTGGCCCCATTCCCATTCGTACCCCATATGAGGCAGAACGTATTCTCGGCATCTATGTAGAACGTGCACAACCTGGCGCCACTACCTGGTCCACGACTCTCTCTCGCGTTCAGCGCACAGCTAAATTCCTCGCCGCCCTCCGTGCCACTGCTACCTGTCGCAAGTCCCTTGCATCGGTCTTCTTAAACTCCATCCTATCCTTCCCTGGCCGATTTCAACCCCCTTCCCCCAACATCATCAAGCGCCTTGATGTTTTGGTAGGGAATTTCCTCTCCTCCTCTCGATTCAAGGAACATGGCCTTGCGGTCCGCCTCATCCCCAATCGCCTCTAACTCCACCCGTCACGGAGGTCTCGGGGCGATCGCCCCCTCCACCCAAATCCGCGCTCTAGCCTGTCATCGAGCGTTTCGCCGTTTCGGCGCCTCACCATCAGAGGAGGTTGCGAGAGCCGCCGTCTGCCTCCCTTTCGGCACACACTGTCTCTTAGCGCACCCTTCCATCCTCCAATCAGGCATCCTTCCGGATGCAACTCCGAGTCGTGCGCTTGCCGAACTACGCGCAGTGATTGAGATCTCCCCGGATATTGCCCCGCCTCGTCTCGTTTCCATGTGTATCATGACTGAACCTACCGCCTTCAACCGTTTCATCCTTAAACCAAATGGGAAACCGTTTGGAATTCTCTCGCGCGAACGCTTCCTCCTATCCAAACAGATCCGTGTCGGTCATTTGGTCTCACTTATCTTTCACTCCCTTGGTGTGGTCTTCTTTAATCATTTCACCTCAGTGTGTCCCCCGGCCAACTCCCCCTCTGGACGAAGAGTCTGGCGAGACCTCGTTCGTGCTATCCCCAAGCCCTGGTGGTTAGCCCTTCGCTCCCCCCCTCCCCCTTCAGCAACCCCGGGGGAGTGGTTCGTCGCCAAAATCGACTCTGAGTCCTCCCCCACTCTTGCTCTCCAGGTCACCGCTTTCTCCGCCCCGTCGTCGCTCTCAGCCTCCCTCCATCGTGTCCTTCCCAACCGCCTCATCGTCCGTGCGCCATTCGGAGCTGGTACATTCAACATTCGTGACCTCTACGCCGTGCATGTCGTTGGGTCCTGGCTTGCAGGCCCCTTCCATACAGATGCAGGTCTCGGCGCGCGGCTCGACATCTTACAGAACGGATGCCCCAGCGTAGCTGATATTCGTCGCCGCCTCTACACTCAGCTTCCCCTTGACCACGCTGCCCGTTGGAGTCACGTCCTCCCAGCTCCTCCTCCTCTCGTTCCTGACTTCTCCCACGTCTTCTTACGCGAGCAACCCAGCCTTCAGCGTGACGTCTTGTACCGGTTCTACATTCGCGCTCTTCCCTCCGGCTCGCGTTTCAATTTTGCTGCTGACCGTGGCATCTGCTCTCTCTGCACCGCAGCAACCACAGAGACCATCTCTCACATCTTCTACAAATGTGGGGCGGCCCCCGCTGTGATCTCCGCTCTCTCCTCCGTCGCTCGTCGTCACCTTCACTGCTCTCCTCCTCCCGAGCTACTGCTTTTCCCGCTCGCGTCCAGAGCTGGCCAAGTGGCCCCCTGGAGCCTCTTGGTCGGAGCATCTGCAAAAGCTATTTGGAACGCGCGCTGTGAACACAAGTTCCAAGACTCACCCGTCTCCCGGTTTGAGATCCTCCAGCTCATCCTAGCACAATTCCTCATCGCGTTCAAAATCTTCCTATGGCGCAGGAAGAAACAATCAGTGAAAAAACAACGACGCTCAGCGGCTTGTATCAAGATAGCCACTCGACTTCGCTTCCTCGTCTTCGACCATGACGGATCCCCTTCGATTCACCCGGACCTCCGCGCCTCCTGGCTGCTCGAGGACCCTTTCCGGCCCCCCTAGTCCTTCCTTTTTTTTTTAGCATAGAGAGCCCCCCAGCCGTGCTGGTGGTTATCCTTGGGATATAGGAATAACGTGTTTCCTACGTACGCCTTTGGGCTGTTGGTTTTGTATAAACCATATTCCTAGCTGCTCTATGCTTTGCTGTACACGGTTACGACCTTATATAACCTTAACCATCAAGGGGTCTGGGAAGTGCGACTCGGCTGTTGCACGACATCGAGCTTCGCCGAGCCGCTCAGGTCTGCAATGTGAGCTTTGTGGAGAGCGAAGAAGCTCAATTGCCGTTACAGACGTCTGCAGCAAGAGCTGCGAAATTGTCGTTTGGACGGTGGCAGCAACTGTACGTTTCGCATTGAGAGTAGAATGGCCGCCCTTGTCGCAACTTCCTGACCTTCTACGGAGGGTTCCAATATACCCAAAATTCAATAACAAAGGGCAGCTATATTATAACTGATGCACGCCTGAACGTGTTTTTACAGTCAACGAAATCAGCAGCAGATTACGCCAGTGTCATCCCTTCGACTTATTCATTCTATTATGAACCAACCTTGGAATTGTTCAGAAAAGTTCACCTTGATTCCAGCCATCAAGCACTAATAGGTTGTGAGGGAGTGCTGTTTCAGCCGTTTTTCTGGCACTCATGCTTACTTCCTGCCTTCAGCTTGTACCCCTTGTAGCAGAGACACTCAAACTGTGCGGAGCTACCGGCACTGGTTGCTGGCACACAGGTTCCATAACCTGAGCAGGGTGGGCTGCTGCTGCTTGCACCACAAAAATTCAAACAAGCTGCCCGGCTCCGTTGCTGCTTTTCAGGGCAGCTGGCCGTTTTTGACAGGCAGTTCTGTACAGCTCGCAGAATCTCGTCATCCCCCAACCCCTGACTGAGCCCTGACTCCTCCGGGCAGAGTTTCTGCCCAGAAATCGTAAGCATGGGGTTACCCCAGAAATAGTTATACTGGAGATCGAACATCATATCCCCATCACCCTTCCCCAGCTCAGGCAGCTTTCCAGAAAAGTAATTCTCCGACACGTTGAAATCCGTCAGGGGAATGTTGGAAAGTGCAGCGGCAGGAATTGAACCCACGAACTTGTTGCTGGCAATGTCCAAATGCACCAGAGTCCCCGCAACTCCCGCTTTCACAGCAGCCCACGGGAATTCTCCCGTCATCTGGTTATACGCGAGCGAAAGATCGGTCAGGGGCGGTTTGTACGCAAAAAACTTCCACGAAACCGAGCCGTTGAGTCGGTTCTTCATGAGGTAAAGCTTGTTGAGATTTTTTATCCTGCCCAGGACGGGGGGCAGGTTTCCTGAAAACTTGTTGAAGCTCAGATCTAGGGAACGAAGGCTCGGGTGCCGCCACAGCTGAGCCAGCGACAGAGTCGAGTCTGTAATCCCCGATTGCTGCATATTCAGTGCCTCGAGCCGCGACAGCCTGTTGACTAACTTGTATGGGAAAGCGCCGCCAATGGGATTGTACGAAAGGTCGAGGACCTTGAGATACGGAGCGAGAGCGGTCAGCGTGCCAGGAAGAGGACCTATTAATCGGTTCTCCTGCAGGTTTAACTCCTCGAGGAGCCGCAATCCCGACAGCTGGCGCGGCACGGCTCCCGTTAAGCGATTATGCGCGAGAAGTAGCGTCTTTAAGTTCCGGAGGGCGCCGAGCGCGGCGGGAATCGGGCCGGCGAGCTGGTTTAGGGCAAGCGCGAGGTAAGTAAGACGCTTAAGGCTGCTAAGCGCGGGGGGGATGCCTCCGGAAAACCTATGGCCGAAGAGATCGAGCGACAAGAGGTTGGTGAGGGAAGCGAGGGAGCGTGGAATGCGGCCGCTGCATCCGCCCGTGCTGCTGCTAATTCTGATTTTCGTGAGGGTCAAAAGCGCGCCGATTGATTCTGGTAGCGAGCCTGTGAGGTTCATCCCGGAGATTTCCAGGTGTTGGAGGGAGTTGAGAGCGGTGATGGTAGACGGAATCGGGCCCGTTTCCCACGAATTGAGCTCGATTTTCACGACCGCGCCTTGAGGGGTACACGCGACGCCTTCCCATTTGCTGCAGTCCGTGCCTGCGCGCCACGTGTCTTTGTAGAAATAGTCGTTGAGATAGGGCATTAACGAGAGGAGGAACTTCTCCTGAGCGGCCTTGATTTTTGCGGCGTGGCTCAGCGTGCAGAGAAGGCTCATAGCGAGACTGATGAGGATTAACACTGGGCATGCGACCGAGGCTGAACCCTTCATAATAGATCTACTAAGGCGGGGCGCCATCAGCGGCGCTTCTGGAGATTGTTGTTACAGCACTAATTTTACTAGATAAGAGATGCCCTAAGATTAGCCGGTCACCAAGTCAGCCCCTTCTCTAATCCGTAAGCATCTGCAGTCTGTGAGAGGATGACGATCTATCTTGCCGATGATTTCGCTGCACATTTTATCCACTTTCTATATCCAGCAGCAAGAGTCATCGGGATAGAGAGCCTTGAGGCAGCAACAGTTGCTACCTCGCCACTGTCGTTGGCGGCAATTCCATTCGCCAGCAGCACGTGCTTGCTAAGCGGCGGGAGCCGCGCGATCGGGTCGTGCCAACAAGGAACGGCTGGTGTAGTGTGATGTCACCAGACATCAATCGAAGCATCACAGCAGCAAGAAACGTACAGCACAGCGGTATGCACATGAGTGAGGGAGGGATGAGCTGTCACTGGCGTGGAAGTGACGAGTTCCATCGGAAACGGAATGGTATTTCTTCTCATAACGTTTTGCTCAAGGTCTGCTCGCAGTTTTCCGCCCATCATTCCTGAGGTTCGAGAGGGAATTAGGGCAAACTAGGTAGCACTGATGCGTACGCAGTTGCTTGAATTTGGAGTTCCCGAAACTCAGAACTGGAGGAACTTGCTTAGCTGCGCAAAGCGTGCTAGCTCAAGCACAAACATCGAAATGGCCATCCGGGAAAGACCAAAAGTGGCGTCTCGACATTTGTCGGCGGATGGAATGCGGTTCGACTGCTGCACGACATTGGGCTTTGCCGAACCGCACAGGTCCACAATGTCCAAACCGTGCAGGGCGAAAGAGCACATTCACGGTTCCATGCGACTGCGGCGACAGCTGCGAAGCGGCCGATGGCGCTTTGGCAGTAACTGTACGACTGGCTGAGGTGTCTCGTACCTAGCCGGATTGGCTGACACCTGTCGTCATGTGAGCACTCACCGCATCTCGGGGGCAGCTTCCTGACAGTTGACTCGTGTCAAATCCAAACCCGCTTTCCGTCTCTCCGTCTTCAGGAGATCTGCAAATTTGACATATCCATTCCGACTATAAAAATGATATTCACGAGTGCTCAGGTTTTGAAGACAGGTTGGATTGGTAAGCATGTTCCTGTAGTAGCTAATTTGAAGCAGTTCAACACCCAAGCCTTATTTGCGTATGGTAGCAGCATCAATATCCGCCTAATGTGTCGGGAAAGAAACTGCTCTCTAATGGCTCCTGCTAGAAGATCCATTCAATCCCAATGGTGGAAGAGGAGAAACACAGGTTGGCAGTAGGAGGGGCGACACAGGATCGGGTCGTGCTGCTGATGTAGGGAGAGGAGATGTGCAAGAGGGATTTAAAAGGTTATGGCGTGGTGCAGAGGCAGAGGGAGGAGGCATCCGAGAAGGGGTATAGGTAGAATGACTAGAGCGTGAGGCGGAGGATCGAGGAGGGGGAGGCGTGTCAGGAGGAGGGCGGGGGAGAGTAAAGAAAGCAGCGGCAGCTGCGGCAGCAGCGAAGGCCGCGGCTGCCATGAAGCCAGGAATGTTGCCCCCACCGAAGAACGCATCGAAGGGACCGATGACCAATGACACAAACATCTGGGGGGGTAGGGGCATGGCACAGAGGGGTGTCAGTAAGGGCCAGGGTGGGAGGAGAGGCAGTTGCTGTGAAGGTAGCGGCTGCCATGAAGCCAGGGATGTTGCCCCCACCGAAGAATGCATCAAAGGGAATGATGACCAGTGATACAAACATCTGTGCGGGTAGGGGCATGGCACAGAAGGGATGTCAGTAAGGCAGCGGCTGTCATGAAGCCAGGAATGTTGCCCCCACCGACGAATGCATCAAAGGGACTGATCACCAGTGATACAAACATCTGAGAGGGTGGCACAGAGCGGGGTAGGGGCATGGCACAGAGGGGATGTCAGTAGGGGTCAGGTTGGAGAAAGTGACAGTTGCAGCGAAGGCAGCTGCTGCCATGAAGCCAGGGATGTCGCCCCCAACAAAGAATGCATCGAAGGGCCCGATGACCAGTGATACAAACATCTGTGGGGGCAGGGGCATGGCACAGAAGGGGTGTTAGTAAGGGTCAAGTTGGGAGGAGAGGCAGTTGCAGCAAAGGCAGCGGCTGCCATGAAGCCAGGGATGTTTCCCCCACCGAAGAATGCATCGAAGGGTCCGATGACCAAGGATACAAACATCTGTGTGGGTAGGGGCATGGCAAGGGGTGTCAGTACGGGCCAGGGTGGGAGGAGAGACAGTTGCAGCGAAGGCAGCGGCTGCCATGAAGCCAGGGATGTTTCCCCCACCAAAGAACGCATCGAAGGGACCGATGACTAGTGACACAAACATCTGAGAGCAAGAGGCACAGACGGGGGTGACAGGGTGAGAAGGTGAGACAGAGGCATGGGAGTAAGAAAGTCCAAGTAAACTACCAGTCTAATCACTATAGCTCTAATAACAAAGTGCAGAATCCTGGGAATTCACCTAAGGCACAATGAGACCACCTGACGCTTCACCTGAAACGCACCAAAAGCACCTGGAAAATCACCTGGGGGAGGACTATAGCGATATTGAGAAGACCAGCTGCAAGGCCCTGCCCTCCGCCCCTTCTTGTGGTGAAAGACGCTGCTAACAGCTGGGACCTAATAACACCTGGATATTCACCTGGGGGAGGACTATGGCGATGTTGAGCAGACCAGCTGCCAGGCCCTGCCCCCCGCCCCCTCTGGTGGTGAAGGACGCCGTGAGGGAGAACGGAAGGCTGTAGGTCACCTGGGGGGATGGGACATGGTGAGATGGGGGGGGGGTGTTGGATGGGGGATGGGGGATGGTGGGTGGAGGGTATGAATCTGCCCACAGTAACAATGCAGCTTTGACAGTGGGCAGGCCAGGCCCTGCCCTCCGCCCCCTCTGATGGTGAAGGAGGCCGTGAGGGAGAACGGAAGGCTGTAGGTCACCTGGGGGGATGGGACATGGGAGAGGGGACGGAAAGCATAAGGAACAATGGTGGCACACCAGGCCCTGGTTTTTGAGAATTCTCAAAAAGGAACAATGGTGGCACACCAGGCCCTGGTTTTTGAGAATTCTCAAAAAGGAACAATGGTGGCACACTAGGCCCTGCCCTCCGCCCCCTCTGATGGTGAAGGATGCCGTGCAGGCGAAGGGAAGGCTGTCAGTCACCCGAGGGGATAGACGTGCATGGTGGGTGGGGAATGGTGTGGTTGAGGGCTCACATAGCAAGTCCTCCCCCCCGCACACTCTACTGGTCAAGAACGCCGTGCGGGAGAAGGGAAGGCTGTGGTTGGTTGGGACTCAGGCGTGAAAGCGACAGCAAGCCTTTACAGCAAGCCCTGCAGAGGGCAGGGCTAGTTATTGCAGTTCACATAGCAAGCCCTGCCCCCGCTCTGCACACTATACTGGTAAAGAACGCGGTGAGGGAGGAGAACGCTCTAAGCACACTCCGACTCACCGCCATGGGAGCGCCGAGAACAGCAAAGATGGTGAGTGCAGCTGCCTTGGCCACTCTGGACTGCGACACGCCTAACACGCTAGCCACGCTTGAAGAAGGAAGTAGCTCAGATTGCTGGTGTGACACTGCATGCTGTGGGTCTAGCATCCCGAGTTTCCTTGCGCCTATCAGTTTCCGAAGCCCAGCAGTGGCCAGTCCGTTTTGAGGCAGTGAGCAGCAGAGGCTCCTGCTGCTAGCATTTAGCTGGCTGAAATATGGCACAGCAGGAGCAGCAGAAGGCACTGCAGAGGGCACTGCAGAGGGCACTGCACCAGCAGTAACCAGCATGCTTTGAGGCTGCCAGCCTTGAGCAGCAACCCCTTGTGCAGGAGCAGCGGAGGGCACAGCAGCAGTGGCGAGCAGGCAAACAGCGAGCACCAGATTCCCCACGGCCCACACGGTCCTGGACCCGAACCTGCGGCACAGAGCATCGATCCTGAGGCTCGTCACCCCCTGCACCACCGAGTTCAGCACCAAGCCTAGCGCTCCGAACCTCACTCCCCTGCTGTACGCCCTAAGAGCCGCCTCGCTGCTAGCACTAGCTACTCCGCTGACTGCATAACTAGCCGCGTTACCAGCTGCTAAAGAAGCAGCAGCAGCAGCACTAGCTTTTGTACCAGCAGCAGCAGCAGCATTAGTAGCAGCAGCTTTAGCTGCTGCAGTCGCTGCTGCTAGTGCGGATTCCCTAGGGTTACTCGAGCCTCCAAACACCTCTCTGCCCATCCAATCCGTGTCAAAGAGAAGGAAAGGGAACCACGCAAGCCAGGTTAGCGCTGTGACTGCCAGCACGCGCAGCACGGGGGGAGGCAGCTGCTGCACTGAACTTACCAGCTCCCATAACAGCACCTGCTTCGGTTCCTCCTCTCCTTCCTCCTCCTCCTCCTCCTCTCCTTCCTCCTCTCCTTCCTCCTCTTCTTCCCCGTTCTCTGCTATCTCCTCTGTTTCCTCCTCGTTCCCTCTTGTCTCCGCCTGCACTGCCCTTGTCCCATTCGTTTTCCGCTTTCTCTTCATCTCTCCTGCCCTCATTTCCTCTATCTCACTCACACCGAACCCACTTTCGTTGCTTCCACCACGCTCCCTCCCACAATCCCTCCCACACTCCCTCGCACTCTCCCTCAACCATTCCTCAGCCCCCACCTGAACCTGATCACTTATCTCTTCACTGCCTCCCCTTCTCCTCCCCTCTCCCATTTCCGCATCAGCAGGATCTGCTTGTAACGAGTCAGCAGCAAAGAGGCCTTCTAACGAGTCATCCACAGGCCACACCCCACCAGTGCTGAACACCCCACTCGTGCCGCTGCCACTGATGCTGCTCCGAGTGCTACTGCTGCTGTTGCTGCTGCTTCTGGCAATGGGGACATGAACAGAAGTAGGAGCAGCAGCAGGTGCAGCAGAAAGGCTAGCAGGAGGAGGCGGGTGCTGGGTGCTACAAGGTAAAAGCGGCTGCCTCATAGCGCTATCCTCGCTAAAAGCCTCCTTGATAGCAGCAATAGCAGCAGCGTCGGCCCTGGAAACATCAGCAGCAATGCTATCACCACCAGCAGCACCACCAGCACCGGAAGAACCAGCACCACCAGCAGCAGCACCAGCAGCAGCAGCACCAGCAGCACCAGCACCAGCAGCACCAGCAGCACCAGCAGCATCATCAGAAAGTGGCACCTCAGAAGCAGCGGACACGCTGACAATGGTCGACGCCAGCAGCAGCACCACATGCAGCATGAACGCCGCCTTGAGGTTCGCACACACGCCGTTACACGCCGCGGTTACCAGCGAGAACCCCCCGACCGGGCGGAGGAGGAGGGAGAGAGGAGAGGAGAGAGTGGAGGCGAGGTGGGGGTAGGAGCCAGCTGCAAAGCCAAGCACGTTGCCGAGAGCCATGAACGCAGAAAAGTAGGCATTCGCCCTGCGAGTGCGCTTGCCTTCCGTGCCTGTAAAGAGGATATTTGTAAAGAGGACAAAAGGAGAGAGCAGAGGCGAGGTGGGGGTAGGAGCCAGCAGCAAAGCCCAGCACGTTGCCGAGAGCCATGAACGCAGAGAAGTATGCATTTGCCCTGCGAGTGCGCTTGCCTTCCGTGCCTGTAAAGAGGAGGACAGAGGGGAAGTGTTCAAGGAAGAGAAGAGGGGTATTCGGGAGGTGGGGGTATGAACACAGCCTTGAGATTCGCACTCACGCCGTTACACGCCGCGGTTACCAGCGAGAAACCCCCACCTAAACTTGCGCTAAAGAAACCGCTGCCACAAAGTGGTGCTCCTTGGGTTCGCACACACGCCGTTAGACGCCGCGGTTACCAGCGAAAACCCCCCGAATGGGCGGAGGAGGAGGGAGAGAGGAGCGGAGAGGGCGAAGGCGAGGTGGGGGTAGGAGCCAGCTGCAAAACCGAGCACGTTGCCAAGAGCCATGAAAGCGGAGAAGTAGGCATTCGCCCTGCGAGTGCGCTTGCCTTCTGTGCCTGTAAAGGGGATGTTTGTAAGGGGAATAAAGGGGCAGACGGGAGGCGAGGTGGGGGTAGGATCCAGCTGCAAAGCCAAGCACGTTGCCAAGAGCCATGAAAGCGGAAAAGTATGGATTGGCCCTGCGCGTGCGCTTGCGTTCCGTGCCTGTAATGGAGATGCTTGTAACGAAGACAACGGGGTAGTGGCGAAGTGGGGGTATGAGGCAGATGCGAAGCTGAGCACATTGCTGAGAGCCAAGTCATGAACGCAGAGAGACAGGGAGAGCCTGGGAACCAGTCCAGCTGGAGGCGGTTTAGCAAGCCGATGTTTTAGTGCCCCAAAGAGACACCAGGAAGAGACTTCACACTGCCCCAGCAGGGACGTGTCAGCACGCAACAGTTAATCCTCACCAGTAAAGTCGGCCAGCAGAGCTCGACACGGTCCCTGCAGGCTGTTGTTGGCCAGGTCAAGCAGCCTGAGACGAAGAGTGATAATGAGAGGAGAAAATTCAAGGGGAAGTGAAACAAGAGAAGCAGAGGAGAGAAGCAGTGTGCTCCGCCAGAACAGCTTGACACAGTCCCTGCAGGCTGTTGTTCGCCAGATCAAGAAGCCTGAGAGAAGAAAATGGTGATGATGGGTGGAGAGGAGTGAGGGGAGATTTGAGGGAATTCTAGAGATGGAAGCAATGAGGAGAGATCGACACGGCCCCTGCAGGCTGTTGCTGGCCAAGTCAAGCAGCCTGAGAGAAGAAAGGGGTGATGATGGGTGGAGAGGAGTGAGGGGATGAGCGAATCTGAAAGAAGCAGGTGGGCAAAGAAGCAGTATGCTCATCAGCAGCAGAGATCGACACAGTCCCTGCAGGCTGTTACTGGCCAGATCAAGCAACCTGGTAATACATAGGAGTGAAAATGGGTGAGGAGGGAAAAAGTTTGAGGGAACTTGAAAGCAGCAAGTGGACAGAGAAGCAGGTCAAGTGAAGCAGCCTGATGGTGGGCGGCGGCGGCAAATGCGCGTGGAGGGATGAGGCATGAGAAAAAGGAGAATGAAAGGGCAAAAACACGGAGAACGTTGGCTCACAGCTGCAACGGCAATGAAACCTCAGCAATGAACCTGAGGACGAAAACGGCAACTTATCAGCCGCTTTTGAGAATTCTCAAAAGAACATCAGCAATGAACCTGAGGGCGAAAAACAGCAACTTATCAGCCGCTACCTTCCCTCAACCCGTCTTCCCCCCCACTCACCAGAACCCCAGAATGAAAAAAAAAATTGCTCCCACCAGCGGCTTCCCTTCTTCCACCCTCGAATCCCCCAATGCGTGTCCCAAGTCCCTTGAAAACGCTATCAGCATCGCCGCCACCGCCGCCACGGCACATCCCCAAAGCAGCAGCCATAACATTGATGTATGAATCTGACCCATGTAAAATACTCACCAGAACCCCAGGATGAAAACGACAATTGCCCCCACCAGAGGTCGCCCTTCTTCCACCCTCGCATCCCCCAATGCGTGCCCCAAGTCCCTCGAGAACGCTATCAGCATCGCCGCCACCGCCACCAGAGCAGCACAACACACCCCACTCACCAAAAGCCAAGTATGAACACCACAATTACCCCCACCAGAGGTCGCCCTTCTTCCACCCTCGCATCCCCCAGCGCATAGCCCAAGTCCCTCGAGAACGCTATCAGCATCGCCGCCACCACCACCAGAGCAGAGCAGCACAGCGCACATTGGTTTCTTGCACTTATTGACTCAAAAAGGCTTCCCCCACTCACCAGAACCCCAGAACGAAAACGACAATCGCTCCCACCAGCGGCTGCCCTGCTTCAATCCCCGCATCTCCCAATGCGTGCCCCAAGTCCCTCGAAAATGCTATCAGCATCGCCGCCACCGCCACCAGAGCCGCCCCCGCCACGATGAACGGGCGGCGCCGGCCATACGGGCAGCGACAGCTGTCACTCCAATGGCCAATCAGAGGCTGGGGGAGAGGAGGAGAGGTGGTTAATGGGAAGAAGAGAGGGAACGGGAGGAGAGTGGGGGGAAGAGGAAAAGGAAAGGGAAGGGAGACGGGACAAAGGGATAGATAAAGCAGCAAACAGGAAAGGCTTAGCCTGACAGATATCCAGTGGTTATCGCGAGACTAAACACCGCTACCACTCTGTTCCTGTTGAAGAGGGACACTTAACTTTGAGGCGCCAGATGTAGGAGGCACAGACATGGGGAATACCGAGCTGCTGCACATAAAGCACAACTCAGAACCTCGCCTTCTACCTCACCTTCTTCCCCACCCCACACTCCTCCACTTCACCCTCCCAGTTGCACCAGTAAATACCTGCACAAACAGGCCGGACAAAGGCCCACAGAGCCAGATGTAGGAGGCCCAGGCATGGGGAATGCCGAGCTGCTGCACATAGGGCGTGAGCAGAGAGAGCTGCAGAGCCCATCCGAATTGCAGCCCTGCAGCAACAGATGCCACCTGGCGGTTAGTGATTGGAGGATGGGAGATTCAGAGTTGAAAACAAACATTAGTTGTAGGAAACCCAGGCATGGGGAACACCGAGCTGGTGATAATCAGGGAAAAGTGAACAGTAGTACCGTTGCTGCAATAAACTTCAACTATAGCACATCCGACAGAAGAAACAGCAACACAATAAAATGAATAAAACATGTGCGAGGCTGGAAAAAACTCGGATGCAGGGGACTGGAAATATGGGCAATGGCCTCACGGTACTGTCATAAGCCTAAAGTAGACTAAGGGAGGTGGCAGGTAGGGCGGTCAGTAAGTTGGTGGGTAGGGATACGCATGAAAGGATGATTCAAGAAAGAGCACCCAGGTGAGGCGTAATTGTCTGTTTTTCTAAACAGAAGAACGTCGCCAGGTGACTATTAAGGAACGTTCAAGACCTACTCAGCTGACTGACTGATTTCAACCACAAAATTAGCATACTAATCAGCACCTTGGCTAGACCAATCAGGGGAACTCGCTTCTTCATCCCAGCCTTCAACGGACGGTTCTGGTTTCCTGCTTTGCCACCTACTGAAGATCCCCTGACGTCACCATCACCACCACCTGCTGATGTTACAGATGCTACGCGGTTACAAGGACTTGCAACACGCTTGCTGACATCAACGTCAACCTTGCTGGCGTCAGCCTCTCCTTCAACGCCAATTTCATGCTTAGAGTGCTCTGACTGATGTCTCTCCATCTTCTGCAGTAGCCTATATTATATAATGATTCAGCAGCTGTTTTGTCGTCTGGCAGTGCTAAATCCTGTAGTTGCATAGCCTCGAATCCAGATTTAACGACTCTTGGTGACGGCCTAGACTAAATTACAAGCCGGAGGATAGTGCAAGGTTCCGAGAAGAGGACGGGAAAAGCCACGTGAGAGAGAGGCTCTGAGCATAAGCGTAGCTCGAGCCGTATCCTCCTCTACCAGCGAAAGCGGCTCCCACGAATCAATCAATCAATCAAGGCTCGGCGCGCTGGATCCACTACTCCCTTGGGAACGCAACTCCGAGCACACACGCACAGCTCACCTTTTCATGTTCTCTCTCCGCCGAATCGTATTTGGGCTTGTATCGCCTCCTCTGAATCTCTCGCTCGCCAGGCAAAGCCATTCTTATTAGGCTTTCAGTTGGGCCTCCTCTCGATCATAACTCATACCTAGATTGTTCAGCCTCAACGAGGTCGTGACATCTGGCACTATAATTGGAGTTTGGATAAGGCTTCCAGTTATCGTTCTCCAACGAGCACTCACCTACGCGGCCAAGGAGATTCGTGATGTCATCCAATCGCAGGCGGCCTAGCTTGTCCCTTCAGTTCAGATTCGGCCACCTTGGTGCTTGCTGCTGCGACGCAATTCGAACCCGTTCCGGCGAGACCATAAACCAGGGGCACAAACGCCAGGGTCGGGTCACGGAGTGGTCCTTCTTTCGACACTGGGATCTTGCGCCGTGCCGCACTTGTGGTCGACCCACGGGAAAAGCGCGCAGCGTTGGCGCGCTAATCGATGTTTCAGGCCCTGAGCTTCAGCTGCCAGCAAAGACGAGTGAGTGCGACCCGTCAGGGTTCAGCTGCTGACGCGAGCAAGGGATTAGCCGCACATGCAGGAGGCCCACAGTTGGCCCCATGTCAATAGCGCGCTCTAAGGTGTCAGTGTGAGGCAGATTAGGTGGCGTACAGGTAAGCAGAAAAGGGTCGCAATTGTGTATGCAAAAATATTTCGACACAACCGTTTCCGATACTGCACTATGTATTCCACAGAAGCAAAAGTTTAATGGTTATACCCCACCCAGCCTATGTAGTTGTTTCCACACCCATGCGAGACTCGCTTCCCATTTGTTGCTGCCTAGGAAACCCCATCTTAGGGCGCGTAACTTTTTCACTTTTCATCGTCCGGACGGAAGCCCCGTCCGGACTTCTGTAGGGTTACGTTGATCGTCAAAATTCGCTAGGTAGTTCGCGAGACCCCTCGCGACGTCGCGATCGTCCGTACGAAATCTGACACTTTTTTGTCAGTTCATCGTCTGGACAACGCTGCTGACACCGTCCGGACAGCATTATGGACCGTCCGGAACTCCTGCAACGTCATTGGTGCGCAAGGTACCATTTTCATCAGTTTTGGAGACTCAATTTCCCGCTCGCAAGAATCACATATCCCACTCCAACTGTCAATGGTTTGTTTGTTGTACTCACTGTAGCGCGAGCGTCCAGACGAAGTGGCTGGAAACCCCAAACTTTGCCGAGCCACAAATGCCTACTTGCGACGTGGGCGATGTGTTGGCGAGGTATGTAATGCCCGTTACTATATCGCACAACTCTCTAATTTCGAAACTGCAAAAAAGTGTCACAATTGTGGTACGGACGCTTCAACGTCCGAACCACATAGCCCAACCGTCCGGACGGAGCTCCGTTCAGACATTTTGGGGGCTCCGTCCGGACATTTGATTGAAATGGAAAAAGTTACGCGCCTTTAGCTATTTTTTTTTTAATATTGATTAGTATATACCGGAACACAAGCATACACCATCAAACGGTCGTAACCGTGCGTGAGGCAACAGTAAAATGAATTACTGTGCCAGGTGAGCTGTCTAGGGCGAGTTGCTTTTTTTTCTTTGGACCACAGCGCGGCAAACGCACTTGTCCACGTCCATGTCAAAATGAAGAATGGATGATGCATTGATGTTGGTTGGGGTACATATAGCTAACCCTAAGTTTTGTACCCCCTAAGACAAACCTCACTATAGGCTACAACATTTGACACACCCCCATAGCCTAAGTGAGGGGTGTCTAGCAGAACCACACGAGTACGGTCACAAGACCAGTCCAAGAAACGAAGCTCAGGGTGGATCACAACGTCACCACACAGTCTGAGCACAAACAACAGTGGCCACAAGGCCAGTCCAAGAAGTAACAGAGGTATATAGAAAGCAAAGTAAACAGTACACTCAAGTCTAAGCAACACGAGAACCAGTGTCAACAAGGCCTAACTGCACACAGCACCTCTGGTGGTCACAAGGCGGAAGCGCCTTGGTGAAGATGTCTGCAGTGTTGGCCTCGGACTCCACAAACTCAAAGCGAGCCTGTCCACGCCTCTGCAACTCTCGCAGAAGAAAGTACCTGACGTGAATGTGCTTCACTCTGCTCTCCAGTCGTGGCTCTCGACAAAGGAGAATAGACGCCTTGTTGTCAGTGAACAAGGTCGGTGCAGAGCTCGGCCGCTCACCAAGGTCGGTGAGCAAGAAGGTCAACCAACGCAGCTCCTGTGCCGCCATGGCACCAGCGTAGATCTCAGCCTCAGCTGTAGAGGTCGAGACCGAAGAGGAGCGCGTGGACCGCCAGGAAACAGCTCCAGAACCCAGGCTGAAACAGTACCCCTGAGTAGACCTGTGAGTCTCAGCGTCGTCAGCGTAAGAGGAGTCACAGTGACCAGTAAGTACGACAGACTGCTGCCCTCCAAGAACTAGCCCCACGCCTGACGTCGTCGCTAGGTACTTCGCCACCCTCACAGCTGCTGTCCAGTGAACAGGACGGTGTCTCCCTGGCGCAACAAAGCGCGCAAGAACGCTGAGAGGGAAGGCGAGGTCCGGGCGAGTACAAGTCATCAGGTACATGAGGCAACCCACAAGCTCTGCGTAGGGACCACTAGGCTCGAACGGCTCGTCAGGAAAGGGTCCAGTGAGTCTGTGGTCAACAGCAAGAGGTGTGCGCTGTACTGTGGAGTGCTGAAGCCCGAACCGCTGAAGGACCTGCTGCACCATGTGCGACTGTGAAAGTGTAATGGTGCGAGCAGCTCTGTCCCTGGTGATCTGCAGGCCAAGGTAGTGGCGCAGCTCACCAAGATCAGTGCAGGTGTGTCTCTTCTGCAGTTCGGACTTCACGTGTGCCAAAGCAACCCTGTCAGGGGTGGCGAAAACAAGGTCGTCAACGTAGACCAGAACAAAGAAAGGTGTGGGGCCACGACGAACGAACAGCGACGGGTCAGCAGAAGACGGCTGGAACCCAAGGTCAGACAGGGTAGAACGCAGGGTGTCGTGCCACTCACGAGGAGCCTGACGAAGACCGTAAACCGGTCGCCTCAGCCTCCACTGGGTCCCAGGAGGGAAAGAGCCAGTGAAGGCAGAGGGACGACGCAACCAGACCTCCTCGTGAAGACTGCCCTGAAGGAAAGCAGTAGAGAAGTCGAGAGAGTGTAACTCGTAGTCTCTCTGTGCTGCTACGTGTAGTAACACCCGAAGAGTGGTCATCTTCGGGGTGGGCGCGAAGGTCTGAAAGAAGTCAACTCCCTCGCGCTGACTGAAACCTCTAGCCACGTAGCGCGCCTTGAAGACCGGAGGAGATCCCGGTGGCCGCTTCACCCTGTAGATCCACATGCCGTCGACTACGTTCGCCCCCGGAGGGGGAACCTCATCGACGTAGGTGCCTGTGGATCTGTAGGAGGCCATCTCTGCGTCCATGGCAGCTCTCCACTGAGAGGCCCAAGGCCCTGACACTGCCTCAGCGTAAGTGCGAGGAGTCGGAATGTCAAGGGCGTCGGGGTCACCCTCAGGGGCGAGGAGCATGGCACAGAGATGAGGGGAAGCGGCCGCCAGGAACTCTAGCTCAAACTGCCTGTCCTCTAGGGCGTCACAGCCAAGGGCAGACACACCCCCGACGGCCAGAGGACTGGAAGGAGGAGCTGCCACAAGAGCGGTGGCGAAGTCAAGGCGGCGGGTAGAGGCAAACTCAGTGACTGCGGCAGTAAGAGCGGACACAGAGGACACAGAGGCACGAGGGTGGGTAACAAGAGAGGCGAGAACACGAGAGAGAACAGGACGGTACGTGCGGTAGTAGTCAGTGACAGGAGAAGGAAGCGACACAGTGAGGGCCGACTCAGGAGGAGACGGAAGCACAGACGGAGACGGACGAGGTGGACGAGAACAAAGGAAGGCTGTACGAAGGTCAGTGAAGGGAACAAGAGACGAGGGACGAGCACG